ATAATGTTATTCTTTTAATGGCAAGTTTTGCCCAATCTGTGGCAAATTCTCAAATAATGAGTGTATAAAGCATTTGTTCTTTATAATGTCGATATTTTTATCCCATATCGCTATATTTACTTATGTATATATAGCGATTTTATTTGACATAACTTCAGAAAAGTTAGGTTAGTGTTGGTGTAAAAATAAAAATTTTATTAAAAAATTGGCATATAATATATTAAAATTTTTTATTTCAAGGCAAACGGAGAGTGTGCGTGGTATAACAGAACAAATAATAATCAAAACTTACCGAAGGAGAGAGGAAGGGTGAAATTATACGGGTTAGTGAAGTGAATTACTTACTCTGATGAGCGAGATATAAATTATTTAGGAATTATCCTAGGGCTATTCCATGGTCAATATTTTTGTTGGTTGGGGAAGAAGAGAGTGATCAGTTTGAAATTGAATAAGTGAGAAAAGTAAAACAGTGAAGAGACAGAACATTTTTTTGTTGGAAAAAGAATAACAAGTAAAATTAATACGCATTTTACTGGAAATGTTTCAATCCGGAATTTAGTCATCCCAGTGTTCCAGGATCCCGAACGATTGTTTGTATTTGGGGTCTTGTTCATACAAAGTGGTATTGGGATACTATTGGATGTGATACTTATTGGTATCACATACCACATTGTAATGTGCATCACGGCGATAGTATGCTAAAAATAAGGAACACTAAATTCTGGAATTGGAAGGATAATTTTGATACGGTGGATTAGTGGGAAGCAATGTGGCAGATGTTGAAGTTATGGAATAGATGGACAAGGTTATTTAAAGCAGTTTAAGAATTTTATATGGATAGCGAGACACAAGCATAGGATATGTAGGAGAGAGACAGAGATTATTTTTCAGCAAAGTAGGATCTATACAGAGATGTATGATGTCATATGGCCTGCCGTCGATTATTCAAAGAATTCTAATCGCGTTGTAAAGGAAGTAAACGCTTAGGGTGTTAGGGGAGACGTGTGGGATTGAAAGATAGTGAATCTAGTCGAAGTAGGAGTTACCATAGTTGTATTTCCTGATGACAAAACAAATTTTGGGAGATTCGGAGAGGAAGTAGCAAAGATTTTGGGGGGGTATGTAAAGGAATGAAATTAAAAGTAACATTAGGAAGGCATATTAAAAAAAAAATAACAGGCAATAAGAGGGACTGGATACCAGATTGGAGGAAGAAGTGGACTTGTCGGCAGATGGTTCTGTGAAGAATGTGAAACATAGATTTACGAAGGACAAAGGTGGTAATGCACTGAGTGTTATCTGTTGAGGAAAAAGAATTTATCCATGGAGGCAAAAAAAAAAAAAAAAAACATATATTCCACCAGAGGTGTGGTACCATCACTCTTGTGTATGAATGTCCAAGCACGAGTTTTGAATGATAAGCGAGAAGGTGTGACAATAGCCAGAATTGTCGTGTTTTGATGGGCAGTGTGTTGCGTGAATATTCTGAGTTAGGAGATTAGGAGGTGTGGAGTTACCAACAATTTTTTTCAGAGGTCTGAGGGGTTGAGATGGTTTGGACATTTAGCGAGGATGTCATATATTAGGATGACTGTGAGGGCATAAAAATCTCGGGTGAACGGAAGAAGGGGTAAGGACCTTTCTAGAAAAGATTGGAGAGTGGGGGTAAACGAAATTTTGAATGCTAGGGACTTGGACATCGTACGCCTTGTGCGGGCGTGTTACATAGAAATGTCGCTTTGTAGTTTTAGGATTTTTATGTTATAGTGAGCAAGGTAACATTAAGGGATTCAGGGAAACCAGTTAGCCGGATTTGAGTCCTGTAGGTGGGAAGTTCAGTGCCTGAGCTTTGAAGGAGGGGTGGGGATGTTGCGGTTTGGAGAGTCATCTGAACTATGATGCCATTGCCCTTCTGGCACTGCCTTCTGCTCCCGTCTCTCGGTGGGAGACGGCAGGAGGGTTGAAAAATGTCAAAATGGTTCGATCAGAGTAACAGATAATAGAGAATAAAGAGATGTGTACATGGCCTACATAAATAAAGTTTGAGAAGACTTGAGTGTAAAGTTAGAGGATAGTCACAATATATAACTGCGAGATAGACAGAACAGTGAAGAGTCAGAGTGATGTAGCTGAGAGACGGACAAATGCCCGAATGAACGCTTTTTAGAGAAAGGAGAAACTATAATGGATTCAGTTAAATGTATGATATGGTAAATACATTGTGTAAAGTGTGTATTAATGATATTATTTATTCCTAGGTGGAGTTGTTCAAAGAAAAGTACTCTGAAAAAACTGGTAATGCAAAACGAGTGTTGATTCAAGCCATTGAGAGAAACTGCCAACAATATTGCCTGGATGAGACCAACAACTACATGGTCATCGTTCAGTGGCTCAAAGACCATGGTTACTATACCCAGCTTAACAACCAGTAAAATATAATATATGCGTATATACCTGAACATATTTAGAAGACTAAAATTTTGGATTTTATTAATTTGTATTACACTGTATAAATAAATTTATATTTATACCTGCTTTTGTATTCCCATCCATTTGTATGTTTGTGCAATTATTAATATATGATAAAACAATATAAATTATGAGATAGGTCACTGTAACTTGGATATGACACATGTACCACTTCGAAAGTCACCTGCTGGTTAAAGCCTATTGGCTACACGAGGGTTGTTAAGCCTGCATACAATCGGCTTATAAGTCAGGAATATTTGAATCCCTAAAACATGATTAAACTTTTCAAGTGTATATACAGTAAAAGAAAAATTAGCTTTCGGGGTCTATATTCTGTGACGACATATTGTTGACAGTGGAGCACAACTTAACTACGTACGTCATCGGTCTTTTCACATAGTTCGTGTTCTTTATAATTATTATCCATTTGTATGTAATTGCATTTCGGAATTTTTAACCTTATTCGCTGCTTAGACGGTGGCGTGGGCAGACGTGTGTGAGTCGCTACTGACCAGTTACACTTGGGTAATTGGTGGTGTGACATTATGGCATCAAGTCTGTGCAGACGTGTGAACACTGTTGGAATTGAGCTGCTCCCTGGGTCCATCATCCCAGAGGTGTCGCAAGTGTTGCTGCTGCAAATCATCTGAGACACATACCGGATTGTGGATGAAGAATTGTACGGCGTTGCTCTAAATGGAGCAGTTCGACTACTCGTTAAGTTGCTGTCATCACAGGTGTACGAGGCGCTTGTGGAGCGGTATCAAGGCGGAGTAATGGACTTTACTGACATTGTATGGGTACGTCTGGTAGACATCGAAACACTACACCTGGCTTAAGTTGAGGAAAGTGCCGATCGAGGTGGACGAAACGGATCTATGAAAGGTGTTCATAAAGTATTGCATTAAACATGTGGCACAGCAGGGGAAATGGGTTGATAGTGCTTATGCAGGTTTGCCAGAAGGAACGTTTTCCCTTAAGTTGTCTTTGCCCCACCCTGTGCCTTCTTAAGTGTACCTATCTGACTTTCGTACGCAGATAATGGTGACATACGCAGGATGGCGCCGCAAATGCAGGATTTGTGGGGAGTACCATCATGTGGCAGCGGTGTGTGGTTGACGAGGGTATCCCCAGGTTGTGTACAGGTCAGTCATACCGGAAAG